ACAGATGCTGTATAACCCTGATAGATGTGCAGTTGTTTTGTTTTTTTTGAGGAGCTTCACTGAAGGCTACTTTAATTCCAGTGACATAGTCTGTGGGGTGATTACATTAAGTGAGTTTTCGTTTTAGCAAAACTGGACACAAGATTCTATGTCATTACTGCTTTTATTATAGCCTTGATAAATATTGTGCATCCAAATAACTTGGTTTTTTCACTTTATTTCTGCTGCTGTTATCAGACATCAGTGAACATGACAAAAAAGGCCAACGTTTTGTAGTGTTTGTAGTTCTGCTGTGGGAACTGAGACAGGACTGGACGCCCAGGAAGGCATTAGAAAGAAAGTGTCACTGGTGCTTTGGTTTCCATGACAACACCCTAACCTGGTTAAAACTGTTGATAATGTTCAAGGAGTATTTGTGTGTGCGTGTTCATATAGGTGGCTACTTACTCATAGACTTAAGTGGGACTAAATTATGTATTAGATCAGAGTATAATGAAAATCATTCAAATTAAAATTCTATCTTTTCTTCCCTTGGAGTGCTGGGAAGACCCTGGGAATTGACCTGCGAGTCGGACTCTAATTAACGTGTCCAATCGTGCCCTGTCCTGTCCTGTCTCCTATTCCCACTATGAAATTAAACCTCGCAGCAGACGCGAACTCCAAGAACGCTAATGAAACGGGCGTGTGACAGGAGGGAGGTCTGCGAACACACACAGGTCTGCGAAAACACACAGGGCTGCGAACACACACACACAGGGCTGCGAACACACACAGGTCTGCGTCCAGGCCAGTCCTGAGACAAACTGTCACTAGAACGTTCTATGTACTTTCTACACTCTTCACATTGATCACACGTCTTAGAAAACCATTCACGCTTAGATTCACACCAACGGTCACTTTACAGTGTGAACACCTGGGCGGTCAACAGGTAATCACCGTGCAGCCCACATCTAACATTTAATTCCTTATTCGTATTTGAGTTGAAGAAAATAAGTTGAACTGGTTCACAACTTGTTGCACAGCTTCGAGACTTTTCACAGATTTGGCAAAAAATGCAATGATTGCTTTTGAAGGTTGAAAAAAAAAAAACCCACTATTGACTAAGACGTGACACCGCTCGGTGCCGAACAAAGATACGATGATGAGACTTGACAGAGCTGTTGGAGACGAGTCGCAGCACATTTAGATCTGTCTTAGGACTCGTTTACGTTTGTATTGACAATGGGAATGACTACATAGTGCACAGTAGTAGTTTAATGTTCGGCGCCACCGTGATTTGACGAATGGTAATCTCTCTGTGTGTCTGTGTGTGTCGGCGTTTGTCGCTATTGTTGTTCTTGATGGGACACCGTATTTTTGGCGCTGTTGCTGTTATTTGTTTTGAGCGTGTGTTTGTATCGTGGTAAGGAGGAATAAAAACTGGGTGTGTAAAAATGAAAAATTTACTCTACTTAAACATTAAAACCGCACTCCAAAATCCACCAGCAGGGGGTAGTCACTTTTTTTTGAAGGTGTGGTTCTTTGCCGTGTCTAAAGTCAAAAGTGATGTCAAGGCATCGCTGTTTGTCTCGAGCGAGATCGACTCCCCCGAAGATATGTATATATCACGATGTTCTTGACGATCATCATCATCGTCATCATCTTCATCGTAGAATATCAACACTGTTTTCTCATTATTTATTCAAAATTACATTTACCTTTCATGTGCATGAAGATTGAATTTTAATTTATAATTAGAATGTATTTTACATTGTTTTTCATGGTTGTTTTTTTAAATTTATTTTATATGTACAGCATGTCTTATATTTTCATTAAACAACTCTACTGTGCGTATAATTATTTGGGAAAGGGTAATACAGGCTAGGGAGGGTTGATAACAGTGTGGGGGAGGTTCGTAAAGGGTAAATATATACGTAAATATAATATAATATAATATAATGTAATAATATAATAATCTTCCCATTTCGCGGTGGGTCTTGGAACATGACTACCGCAATAGGAGAGGGATCGCTGCATATGTCAGGGGTGTCCACACTTTTTCGGCTTGGGAGCTACTTTTCAAATGACGGGGGTAAAGTGATCTACCTACATTGAAAACTATGAATATACTGTATATTTACCTCTTTGATTAAACGGCTGTAGTTGTATGGCACAATACTTCTATGGTCCTTACTTTAGCCCTCGTGATTAGCATCTTAAAATAGAATTAAATCTACCATTTTTGAATTTTTTTGTTTTTTTTCACAAAATGATTTTACCAAAGCGTTCACAAGAAACGTCAAACTCATCCAGAGGTCAACTGTGGGTCCCAGGGACAGAGCGCGACTGTTCCTCCTCTGAGCGCTTTGACTTAGTGTTATGTATATCCGTGAACTCTCTGAATAATGTTTGTGATGCAAGGCCCTTGCAACTGCTCACCCACAGCCACAGCCACCGAACAAGAAAGGCAAAGTAGGGGTTCAATGCCCCAAAACAGAGGATCTTTGTTTTCGCGGTGAGAAACGATCACAATCCCATGCATTTCCACGACCAGACCTAATCCCAAAATTCAGTCTTGACCAATCTCTGCCCGCTACTCACTTCAGCGTAATCTAATACTGACTCTATAGCAACATTGATAAAGGTTAACACCAGAGGGGGAGGGGGGAGGGGGGGGGGTGAAAACAGGTGAAGACCTAAGTCTTCAGGGTTCTCTAGCTGCCTTGTTTACGTTAACACTTTCAAAGTGCGTCTCTGTGTGTTTGAGTCACATGTTTTGCTCGATTTATACAATCAAATGTTACCGATTGGCCTCGGTCACCGTCCCTCCTCCGGGGCCTCATGTGTCATAAATCTGAGGACGCACGGTGTCCATCTGTGCCGTTTTCGTTCTTACGACAATCACAAACTCTTTGTGTGCGTCCATTTTGGTGTGGTCACCACGGGGGTCGCTTCCTGCAGACTCCCCTGTGATGTAGCTTTATCACGGCCATGTGAGGATGTCTGACAGGAAGGCAGAGAGCGAGATGGACTCCCCCATCCCCCCTCTGGGCAGGGACTGGCTGGACTGAAGGGTCTCAGCACCAGACCCTCTTTCACAGCCCTGAATGGGCTTGCCTTATTTATATTCACACTCTGTCACACAGGGGGGAGCGGGGGGGGACCCCAATCTTACAATGCCACTGTGGCTTTGTCCGGCAACTCTGTATTTATGCGTATGTGTGTGAAAGAGAGAGCGAGAGAGAGAGAGAGAGAGAGAGTTTGTGTGTTTAATCGGGGGCATGTTGCCGCTCTGTACTCTGTACATGAGAATTCATCGCTGTGTGTATTTCTAGAGTGTGTGTGTGTGTGTGTGAGTGTATCGCCCTAATGGAATGCCTCCCTCTCCCATTCACCAAACCTACATCACAGGCAGGCAGCTGGGCAGTGTGTTTGTTTGTGTTTGTGTTTTTGTGTGTGTGTGTGAGTGTGTGTGTGTGTGTTCCGACCCTGCTCCTGTGTTCACTTGTAACCTAGAGCAGCGCTTTCATTTTCCTGTCATAACGCGTATTGATTTCCCTCAGACTTGCAGCAACACACACATCCACACACACACACCCTCAGATATCCAAGGGTCCTTAAAGTCATGCATGCAGACCCACACACACCATACGTTTCCTTGTGTATCCACACAGGCACGGCTTGAGAGGGAGCACTGCATTCAAAAGCCCAGTTGGAGTGCCGTGACTGCTCACACACTTCCAATCACACTCTCGCAGGTGTACGCGGCCACACACACACACACACACGCACGCGCACCATCACCTACTCTTTTTGACATAGAACAGTAAATACGGCTGATTGCTAAATTAATCTTCCACGTCACTGCGGCCCCCGGTGCCAGCGCTCGCTTAGGAGAAAGTGATCACTCTTGCCTTCCTTAGCGTTTTCTCATTTTCCCAGAGCTGTACCCTCCGTGCTCTTCTCTTACCCCCCTCCCCTCCTCCTGTAATTGCCTTGGTAAACAGCACCACTTTGGCACTGAAGCAGCTCTGATAGCCTATGTTTGGGATGCATTAAGAGTGGTGATGCAGACAAGATGAGTGTGTGCTCGTTCTTTGCATGTGTGAGTGGTGCTGTATGTGTATATGTGTGTGGGGGGTGGGGGGAGCGGTGGGGGGGCACTCCATATGCTCTGTTGTGGTTCCTGAGACTCAGGTGTTTGGTTCGGTTCTTCTGTTTATCACACTTGATTGGTTAGGGTTTAGTTGTTTTTTTGCTCTGCTCTGTGTGATTAAACCACGTCACATGATTATGTTACTGAATGTGAAAGAGGCTTATTAATGATGTTTGCTGTGAAATGTTGACGTCACTGACCTAAAGAAGACGTCCATATATGTAAGAATAAAAGTGCTGCAAAGGAGTCCATAAACATTTGGAAAGTGGGCCCAATGTATTTTCAAAAGAAAATATTTTATTCCAGCCGAACCATGCTTTTTGTTATTTTATTAAAGTTGGGTTTTTGTCCATTCTGACTGGAGTCAATATCAGTTGAGAGAAGCAGCTCAAGTCTTTGAGATCGAAAGATTGGACAAAAAAGAAATTATGCCTGAAATGATGCAACAAATTATATACGTTTCCGCAGAAAACAAAAGATGCAAGGAAGAAAACTGGACGTCGCAAGTTAGGATTCAAGTACATCACAGATTATTTTAGACATTGAGGGTACAGGAAAGAAGGGATGGATGGATGGATGAATGGATGGATGGATGGATGAATGGATGGATGGATGGATGGGTAAGGGAAACTTGACCCAAAATGTATTTAAATGTTTTATGTTTTTAGAAAAAAACTTTCACTCTTTTTCAGTGTTGTTTCTCACACTACTGCTACTCTGACAAAATATATTTGGAATCAGTCTTTAATCTGACAAATAGTAAATGCTCTAACATTGAGGCCTGCGTGGTCTTTGACCTCGTCCATGCTCTGTCTGACCACAGCCTGATAACACACACCTGTTTCTTTGTTTCATTTTTCCGCAGTGAGACGATCATCTCATTCACTGGTCACGGACATATTTGAGCAGCACCTCGGCGCTCACCTACTGCAGGTAATGACCGCAGTGCACACACACACACACACTTTTACATTTTAATGACCTGTTCTTCGTGTGCTTATAGAATGTAATGTAGTTCATTTTAATGACCTGTTCTTCATGTGCTTATAGAATGTAATGTAGTTCATTAATAATCTGGTACAGAACTGGTCCAACCTGTACCAGAATAAGTGGGTTAAATAATGATAAAATGATGGCTGCAATAGATAAGATTGTACGTAAATAACAGAACAGAGTGTTTTAGTGCCTAACAATAACTGCACAACGAATTGTAATGAAATGAAATGTATTTTTGAACAGATTCCCTCTGCAGTGTGTATCGGATGCACATAAAGTGACTAAAGAAAAAGTTAGCAAACACCTTGGATGTGCTGAGCTAAAGTTGAATCTCACCGTGTGATGAGGTTGGTTGTTGACTGTAGTTCGCGTTGGAGGTCGGTGTCGTTGCATATAATCGGTTCTCAGAACTTCATTAACTTAAAGAATTGCTAATAGGCGAAATAATTGAAAAGTTAAAGAGTCCACGTGAACTTAGAAGTAAGTAAAGATTGATGTAAAATGTCTCAGAGTGCATATTTATCTGGGTAAAAGTATAATAATATGATTGTGTGATTTAATGCTGCAATGTAGAATGAACAGCATGTTTTTTTTTACATTTTAACAAGTTTATTTGGATGAAGCCTTTGTTTTACCGAACAAGGAACCAGAATCTAGAGTGAGTGGTTTGGATTTAGTTTGACAATATTGTGTCTGAGCATATTCTGAGCTTCTTTCCCTCCGAATGAAACTTAATTGTCTGAGCATATTCTAAACACGAGCAGACACATGGACACACACACACACACTCGCGTACGGGTCTCCTAAACCTCAGATGCTTTGACTATATTGTTGGCTGCCAAAGAACGCCTCTCTTTTTTTTACTGACAGATGAATGGAGCCTGAGGGGGATTCTGTGGCAGCAGGGCTGCAGGGATGACGAAATGCGGGATGTAAAGACAAAGAGTGAGAGGAAATGTGGAGAATGTAACACCACGGATTGTACTTTAGGCGGGGGGGCGGGTAGAGGGGGGGCAGAGGGCATCCAGAGGAGAGAGGGATAAAGAGAAAAGTTGGAGGGATTAAGTTGGAAACAGGTAGAGGAGTGGGAACAGTTGGAAGGGGGAGAGCAAGCAGAAGACAAGAGAGTGGAGGCAGAGAGTTTAATAGTCAGACGGTTGTGGGAAAACAAAGAAACCTTACATGTGTCTGCTCCCCTCCCGCATCTTAAAAAGGAAGGGAAGCTTTGGGAACAGCACTGATAGAAATCAAATTAACGCTCCAGAAAAACTGTATGATTCCTCCCTCCCAGCCGTCCTCCTGCCGTAATAGCCTGATAATTGCACTTTAGTTCTCCGACATTCAGGCGGCTGGTTTCTCCTCACCGCGACACACGACGCCCCACACCCAGACCACACATTTGCATACTGGATGTGTCAGTTGCATAAATTACCGGTGCCACTTTAAGCACTGGGCCGCCAAAATAGCAATCATTCTTCTAGACTAAAGTGGCACAGGTCTGTGTGCCATTTCTGCGTGTGTGTTCCCGCAGCCCTGTGTCACCTCTGGACACTTGTTATGACGATTAATATTGTTCTCCGAGGCACTCACCACTCCTGGACTGTGTGTATCGCTTTCTCTTTTCATTACAATCATCACGGCCACTGAGGTACCCAGTTTCTCCTGCTTGTGTCTGTGTCCACACGAGAGGCCTCCATCTGTTTGTGTGTGTGCTCCTGAATGGACTGGAATTTATCATGTCATGGGGACACAAACTGCTCGTACCGTCATGACACTTCACTGGGACCTGTTGCATTGTTGGCGTTAAAGATATCGCTAAAATCGGAAAATTTGAAGCGAGCGCGCACGATGCGTGTGTGTGTGTACTTTTTCAGTTAAGAGAGGAGGCGTGGAGGTGACAGGTTGTTTGTTCTCTGGCTCATTGTAATTTGTTCAATACACTCTAATTGCTCTAATTTGTCTGTCTCGTTCCTGTTTGTCCTTATGTCGTTGTGTGGGTGTGTGTGCACGCGCGTGTGTGTGTGTGTATTGGATGTTGTCACTGTTTCTCACGCGCACAGTCTCTGGACGGCTTCGTGTTCGTGGTCAGTCAGGAGGGACGTTTCCTCTACATCTCGGAGACAGTTTCTATCTACCTGGGACTCTCACAGGTAAGACAGCCTCATCAGATGCACACAACCACACACACAACCACACACACACTTGAATAATCCTATCTGTACGAGAGCCTTCGCACACGCGCGCCTGTCTTGTGCTTACGCTCTCATTTCCCGTCCCATGAGTGTGCGTGTTTGTGTGTCTGAATATCTTTGACTGCACTCTTTGCGCTCATCTCTCGAGTGCAACTCTCGTGGGGCTCGTGTTACTCTCTCTCTCTCCCTGTCCTTCTCCCTCTCTCACCCGCCCTCTCTCCCTCTCCAGGTGCTCACCTCTGTTGATTGCCTGTGGCCTCTTGTACTGTGAATGTTAAGTCCTGCCATTTTGCCCAGATGCATAAATAATAACAGTAATTACTGGTCCAGCAATCAAAGTGTCGCCCCAGCGCACTGGGCCTGTCTGGGGGAACAAATCGATAGGCATCTTAAAAGCCACATTGATTGTAGGGAGGGGGAAAAACACCAAGGGGGATGGCAAGATAGATAGAGACAGCTGGAGAGAGAAAGAGAGGGGGAGGGAGGGAGGGAGGGAGGAGAGGTGTGATAAGAGAGAGATGTTTTAAGGTAAGAATAATAGTACAGCGTGGAAGGAAGAAAGAAAGAGGAGGAGAGGGAGGGAGGGAGACACAGTGGAGCAACAAATCAGAATTTAAATCTGGAAAAAATCATTTGTTATCGCCAAACTTTACTTTATGACCCAGTGTGTTACTCAGGCAGTTACTGTGTAAATAAGAAAGCCACGGAGTGCTCTTCTAATTCAGATTGAATTATTGAACTCAGACGAACACTCTGTAAACACCTAACACCCGTAATTCCAACCAAAGGCAAAAATCATTGTAGGTCTGTGTGAGATTTTTTGTTGTTGTTAATTTGCGTATAATTTCCAAAGTAACAATGAGTAAAAATGTCATTTTTTGGCCTATTTTTTGGTAAAATTATTTTTTTCACAAAAACTCTGGGCTGTCTGTCGTCAATGTTTTGTGCGTTTTTAAACAAAACTTTCATTGTAGTTCAGTGATTGTGAGGTGTTTGGACGGGATTTAAATGACAGCAACATTTTTCATATTTCACATTTTTTTAGTTTTATATTCCCTAGCCTAAAACAAGCTGTCCCTGAAAAGTTGCAGTTATTTTCTAAATATACGATAGTTTTTTTAACAATTAATAAGTATTTTGCGTTTTAAAGTTCCCAGTCCAGACTAATTCATGACTGCTGCTCAGGCAGCAACAACATTGAAATCCCTAACAAAGTGTGGCTCTTACAGGTAAGTGGTCAGTTTATCAGCCATAAAAGTCCCAGTGTGGATGGAGTAAAACTTCCTGTTGGGCCTCAGGTCTGTGAGTTTTATCTCAAGTCTTATCTTTAAAAAATACTTGAAGCTATTTTTTTTCGTTACGGTTATTGATACAGAACTTTTGTCCTTAAAACAAAAGTTCCTTGGCAAGTTGTATATTTCTTTGCAGAGCATTTCTCTGCTATTTTTTTTTTATTTGTTCTGGTCCTCTTTTTGAAGGCACAAGTATTAAATATGAAATTGTATCAAATAGTTTTTTAAGCCTGGTTAGAGCATCTCTTACCTACTGTGAGAGATAAGCAACCAAATACGCAGGTGCTGTGTACATTAATTGACTTATTAAGTTGTTGTTTTTTTAATATCTGTAGAGACCATATGTACAACCCGGATCGTGAAAATGTAAATCCACGTCAACGCGTGACTCTCTCTGAAACATTCCGTGCCACATTAGTTGCGTCACAGCCGAGGTGAGTGGACAAATAAAGTGGCAGCTAACATATGGACAGGGGAGGACGCTACATGTGCTACATATGACAGACTTGAAACTGAGCCAGACCTTTTCTTTAGGCCGACACAAATTCAATATGTGTGCAAGATAAGAAGAAGAGTGGCTCGGGTTTTCACATATTGCGTACACACACACACACACACATAGATTAGAAAAATACAAGGACAAGAGTAAGATAGAGCTGGGGAGATTGCTAGAAGACAGAACAAAAAGGGCGATACACAGGAAAATAAAGAGAACCAGACAGACAATTACGAAGAGGGGAGAAAATAAAGCAGAGCGTTGAGAGGGGGCTGGGGGGGGGGGGGGGGGGGGGGGGGGGGGGGGGGGGGGGGGGGGGTGGAAGAGAGACAGTGGTAAAGACCAGAGAGTGTGTAAATAGAGTTTAAATGTGCAGTAGGAATGAAATTCGCCCTGGGATTGCATAGGTAAACAAGGCAGCTGAGGCTTTGGTGGAGATGCTAATAAAACAGAGCTGTTCTTATCAGCTGAGCAGATGGCCTCACCCATCACATCTACTCAAACAGGGCCCGAGCCATCAGCATTCTAATGAAATTATTTATGATCAAAGATTACGTTCAAAACCTTGAACACACAAACGCCACATTTACCGTCCCGAAAAAGATGAGAGTGGGCGGGGATTTGGGGGGGTGTTTATGATGAGAAAGATGGAGTGAGACAGTCAGAAAGGGCAGATTGAGTGAGTTAGAGGATACGGAAGGGAGCGAGAGTGTGTGTGTGCGTACATGTGGGTGTGTTTATGGAAACAAATGATGAGCACGAACCACAAATAAAAAAAAAAAGGAGAGGAAGTAAAGGTGGACTGAAGGGGACAAAAACACTCCTAGCCGGGCACAGGGGAGAGAGGAAGGACAGACAAACAAATGATGTTCCAGTGTAACTGGTGGTTTGTTTAGAGGACACGTCTCCCCCTGTGGACCGACTCTGCCCTGCCGTCTCCAGCCCCCGCCCCCCACCCCCCC